GCCCCCAGCCCGCCCTCTGTCTCCCCCCCCCTTCAGGGCATCCTCAGGAAAACCGGCTGCTGTTACTCCTGTGAGGAAGTGGGTAAGTCGAGGCCCGCCTACCCGCCCTCCACCTCCGCCCAGTCTCCATCCGTTGATTTCTGCCCGAAGCTGCCCTTGGCCCCAGGACCCCACCCTGAGCGCGGGGCTCGGGAGGGTGGCGCGTGGGGAGCGGCCCTAGGTCGGGGTCCTCAGAGGTCCCCTCCCGCACCTCCACCGCCTTTCCTCCGTCTGCCCAGACAAGTGCCAAGTCCGCGTCAACAGAACCATCCTGACACACCAGGGCTGCGCCACTCGGGCCCCGGTCAACCTCACGTTCTGCGGGGGCTCATGCCCCGGAGTGTCCAAGTGAGCGAGCCCTGCGCCCCTCCCGAGAGGCCCCTCCCCGCCCCACACTGCCCTGGCTTCGCCAGGTGTGAGCAGTGCGCTTAAAGAGCAGAAGGACCCATGTGGGGCTGGCTCAAGACCCAGGGAAGGTTCCCCGGGGGGAGGGTCCTGCCGGGTCAGCAAGTTCCGAGAGCTGGTTCTAAGACGAGAGGGGGCCTGGCGCGGGAAGGTCAGAGTTCAGTGACCCTGAGCACCGTCCCAGGCCAGGTCAGAGGAGCCCCTAGTGCTCGGAGGATGAGCTCAGGGCTGCCGGGAGTGGGTCGGGGCCATTGGCTCCAGACCCCAGAGACACCAGGAGCTCGGGGGCTGGGGCTGGACCCGGCGGGTCCTGAGGGCGGCCCTGCGTTTGCAGGTACTCCGTGGAGGCCCAGGCTATGGAGCATCAGTGTACCTGCTGCCAGGAGGCAGGGGTTCATGAGGAGGTGGTGACCATGCAGTGTCCCGACGGGACCACCGTCCAGCGCACCTACACCCACGTGGACAAGTGCAGCTGTGCCCCATCCTGCGTCCGCTCACCTGAGGCTCCCGAGGACAGCACCCCCATCTTCCTGACCTAGGGCTCCACCACTGTCTGTTGCCATTCTGATCCCCTCCCGCCAGGCCCCCCACCCCAATCTGGAGCCAGGACACACACCACCCAACCACGGAAAGCTCGGCCAGCCTGCGGCAGGAGCCCGGGCACACCTGCCATCTGGGCCCTCGTGGGACCTGTGCCTTGGGGGCTGCCCTAGAGGACAACGGCACAGTGAGGAACCGCTTGAGGAGGGCTCCGGGCGGGGGCCTTGCCCTCGGAGCCCCTCCAGCACATCTTGGCCACTTGCCTGGCCGTCAGGGCCTGGCCCTCATCTGAGACAAGTGCCTGTGCTGCCTGGACTCACCCCCTTCTTCGTGTCAGAGGGGTGCCCCGGAGCTGCTGTGCTGTCCCCCGCTGTGGGCCTGCGTGCGCCCCGCTGCTCCCCAAGCCCCGTGGAGCGGGTTCCTGCTGGCCACCTCCTGCACCGGGATGTGGGCTGGGGCCTGTCCACTGGCCACCAGCTGCCTCCGGGGAGTGGTGTCAGGCAGGGTGGCTGCCCATCCACATGTGAACCTGGGCCTGGGGTGACCACGGCTGCCGGGAGGTGGGCCAGGGAGGGGTTGGTGCTCCCCAGCACTCCCTCTGCCCACCCTGCCCCCATCTTGCAAATAAACGCTGAGCAGTGTGTACACTTGTTGGTCCTGGTGTCTTTTCTGCCCACTGAGTCCCCTGGGCTTCTCCTCTGTCTGGTTGTATGGGACCCCCAGGGCTCATGCTGCCCCTCCCCTCTGGGAGGCACAGGTGGGAGGAGGGGTCTGGAGGCCCTCAGGGTCAGTCTCAGGCTGTGGGGCACTGGCTGGGGCCAGGGATGAGCCAGGGGCTCAAAAATGACCCTGTCCATTATTTCCAACCCAGGGGATTTATAAGGAAGCTGGTTCACTGATGTGGAAAGTTTGGGGACCCTGCGGGAGGCATGGCTGTGGCCCAGGTGTGACAGTGCAGAAAGCAGTGGCCTCGTGGGCTGGGGGCGCACAGAAGGAGGGGTGCCCAGTGCTGCTCGGGCCCCAGGGGGGTTGCCAGCCGCTGCAGTCCCCGCTCCCTGCCTGCCACAGCTCACTGAATTTTCTCCAGGGCGCTTGTCCCACCTCAGCTTGCTCTAGGCCTGGCCTTCTTTTCTCACCTCCCCCGAGGGCGGGGATTTCTCGCCAGAGAGCTCCACGAGCATGTGGTGGGGTGCGGGAAGAGCTGGGGAGCAGGTGTGGGGTGTGGCAGACAGGAGACGTGCCTGGCTGAACTGGGCAGGAAGGACGAGACATGGCCCCCCAAGGGGCAGGGGTGGCTTCCGGTGGGGCTGCCACTTGGGGAGGCAAAGACAAGGCTTGAAGGAAGCTGCTGGTGGGGGGGTACGTGGGAGGGCCCTCCCCCCTCCCGAGTCGCATGACCTGCCTCTGCCCTCGGTGTGGTTCCCATGGTGGGGCCGCTGCAGGGGCTCAGCGAGGAGGGCCTGGGCTCTCTTCAGGCCATTGCTGTCCTTTCCTACCCACGTCACAAGGTCTGGGCAGGGTAGGCCACCCTGGGACCCGGCCGGGCCGGACGGGGATGGCTGCCAGGCTGGCGAGGTGTGCCTGCAAATGAGGCTGGCCGTCCTGGGGTCGCCTTCGGAAAGCTGACCCAGAGCCTCACAGTCTGATTTCCTGGGGGCTGTGGCCGTGCCCCCAGCTGAGTCTTTGTGAACCCAGGTGCAAAACCACAGTCTTCCCTAAGCCCCTCCCTGTCATTCCCTGGCACAGTCCCTTCCTTAAACGCATGTGCCTCTCACCAAATCTAAACATGTTCCTAAGGCACCAGGAATATGGGTGTCACGTGCCGTGGACTAGGGCTCGCCTGTGCCACGTGCTGCCTGTGTGCCAGGGGACGCTCTCATTCAATCCTGACAACACTCTATGCAATGTGTGCCATTATTTCCTCTCACTTTACAGATGGGGAAACTGAGGCACACTGCAATGTGCTCCAGAGTCCACACTGTCAGCCAGAGGTGCCCCGTCGCCCTGGAGAAGGTAACTCTAAAACCAACACGGCGCATAAAAACAAAACAGTTACTAAACTTCAAATATTTTTAAAAAGGGGTTTCTGGTTTCCAGATGGAAAAGCATCTTCCCCACAGGCACAAAATTTACCACGACAAAGATAGAACTTTTAAAATAGAAGAGCGGAAAACAAGGAAGTGAATGATCTGTAAAATCGACAGACATCCTGAACGAAGGGAGGTTTTGGGGGACGTGCCCGTGGTGTGCAGGGGGGAGGGGGCGTGGCCTCAGGGCAATATTTGGATCCACATGTAAGAACAATGATCTCTCAGAACTGAAGGCATGAGCTCTTGACCGAAAGTTCTCGGTGAGTGCCAAGGAAGGCCAAGAGGTACATCCATTCAGATACTTGGGGGTGAGATCTGAGGGCATCGAGGTAGAGAAAAACTCGGAGCTGCTGGGGAGACATGACCCTGTGCCCATGCTGGGGTGAACGGGCACCAGAGCCCGGAGACTCTGGCAGGGCCCCTCTGTGGTGCCGAAGGCACAGAACTTGAACGCTGAATCCCACACCCAAGTAAACTATCATTTAAGAGTGATAATGAGGGGCATCAGGGTGGCTCAGTCGTTAAGCATCTGCCTTAAGCTCAGGTCATGATCGCAGGGTCCTGGGATCGAGCCCCGCATCGGGCTCCCTGCTCGGCGGGAAGCCTGCTTCTCCCTCTCCCCCTCCCCCTGCTTGTGTTCCCCCTCTCTCTTTATCTATCTCTGTCAAGTAAATAAATAAAATCTTTAAAAAAAAAAAGATAATGAAAAAAGGCATTTTCAACATACAAGGACTCAGAACAGACATCTCACAAGACCCTGTGCGAGAGAAACCGGCAACATGGCGTCATATCTCAGAAACCAATACGTGGCACGCAGAAGTTCGTAACTTTAAGGAGTCGGAGTCATCAGTATTTTTCTTCACAGGTAGCGCTTCCTGGTCCTATTTCACAAAACCTTCCCTGCCTTAAGATCAGAAATATGGTCGGGGCGCCTGGGTGGCTCAGTTGGTTAAGCGACTGCCTTCGGCTCAGGTCATGATCCTGGAGTCCCTGGATCGAGTCCCGCATCGGGCTCCCTGCTT